TGAGACATTTATTTACCGCGATATTCGATATATCGTTACATCCCTAGTGCTCACACACCGACTCACAGCCTCGCCGCGTTTTATGAGAGTGACTCTTCGGACAAAGCATTTTAATGTTATTAAATGATGCAAGAGCCCTTCAGTTAGAATTGGATGTAAATATATACCTTGTTTTTACTAATCTACATCACACAAACTCAGTACAACGTGTCTCATCTTGTCTGTTGCAGGGATTATGTTTAACACCGGCATCGGTCAGCACATCCTGAAGAATCCACTGGTTGTCAATGGGATCATTGAGAAGGTACGCTGTACTGGTGCAACGTACAGTTAATGTTGTACACACATACACGACTATTTGTGAACAAAGACTCTAATGTTACAAAGATTATCACAATGTACAGTGTTGTTAAACCCTACTCATGGTTCATGATTCTCAGGCTGCCCTGAGGCCGACGGATGTGGTTCTGGAGGTGGGACCCGGTACTGGTAACATGACCGTGAAGCTGCTGGAAAAAGCCAAGAAGGTGAGAGCATGAAGGATTCAACTCAAGATCATTAATGTAGCCATATCCCATGTGCCTCTATGCCAGGGGTTCTCAAACTTTTTGTTCATGCGGACCACTATTTATTATCAAGGATTTTCGCGGACCACCTCATATGCAAACCGTAAAAATAAGTACATATATAAACGTAGTGTTAAAATGCCGATATTTTGTTATAGTTAATTATAGACAATCAAAAGTAAATTGAAGCCTATCTGATACTTTTGTCGCACGTGTGAACGGTGTCTGTCTGCGTTGTGTATGTTTCTCAAAGAGGACGGCGGACGCTATTTTAATTAGGTCATCCCAAACAATGCCACAAGTGCGCTCTCACTCTCTCACACACACACGGTGCTGCCCCTCACACACACACAGGCTTCAAATCAAGTTGCATAAATGCTTGAGCTACGTCATTGCAAATAAGCAGACAGCGCTGCTTCTCTCCCTCTCCCCCACACACACACACAAACATGGCGCTGCCCCTCACACACAGGCTTGTTTTCGTCCTTATTACAACAAATACACACCTGCAACTGATAACACTGGCAATGATTTTATATTTATGAGACTATTCAAAAAAAAAATAATGCTTCAAAAAAGTGGGGGCTCCAAATAAGTGGGGGAAGGCGATCCCCCGCGTACAACAACCACTACCCCACTGCCTGATGTCATTAGAAAGCTAGGAATCTCCTCTTTCCAACAGTGTATACAACTCAAAATGTGTCTTCGGGTCAATGCGACTGATTTCGATAGAGCAAGTCACATACGAGGTGGTCCCCGAAAATCCTTGATAATAAAAAGTGGATTTTATTTAGCTTTTTTCCACGGACCACCTGCAGCACCCCGCAGACCACAGTTTGAGAACCGCTGCTCTATGCATTTGAACAGAATGTTACATCAGTGTTTCATGGATCGAATGTTGTCAGGGTTATTCCTTTTTTTTTGTATCCAAACGTCATAGAAATGTGGTTTTCCATCACCTTTTATTTCTTTGGTTTGAGGTCTTCAACGGCTTTCAACAATCTAATTGGACAAAGCATTAAAAAGGTTAACATGTAGCTAACTGACATTTTAACCACATTTCCCAGCTTACATTTGTCCTTCATCTTTTGCTTTTATCTGTTTTCTTTGAAGTGTCCACAGCAGTGTTACAGTAATTGTGTTTCAGTTTGCAGTCATTACAGAAATGTCTATCTTTGCAGGTGGTGGCCTGTGAGTTGGACGGCAGATTAGTGGCTGAGCTTCAGAAAAGAGTACAGTGCACGTGAGTGGAGAGGGCGGCATGATTACACCACATATACATGTAAACCTAAGTATCTGCAATAGATGAAAAGTAAATACATGATCTCTTAATAAACACATTGTGTTTTCCTACAGACCCATGCAGGCCAAACTTCAAATATTAATCGGAGATGTGCTAAAAACAGAATTGCCTTTCTTTGACGTCTGTGTGGCTAATTTACCTTACCAGGTAAATACATGTTTCCTCCACTCTGCATCACTTTCTCATCAGTCATTCAAAACAATCCTGCTTTTGTTTTTAAACCCCACTCTTCTCAATTTACAGATTTCGTCACCATTTGTCTTTAAGCTCCTTCTGCATCGACCTTTCTTCAGGTAAGAGATAACCCATGGCTACCGAGAGGACACTGTGTATGTCCATGTTGAGCGTTCAGCATTGTGTTTTACCTTTGCTCAGGTGTGCCGTGTTGATGTTCCAGAGAGAGTTTGCCATGCGACTTGTGGCCCAACCTGGAGACAAGCTGTTCTGCAGATTGTCCATCAACACACAGCTACTGGCCCGTGTGGACCATCTCATGAAGGTCAGTGCGTAACCTCTGATGTCTAAAAGCAAATCCCGAAAACAGCAAATTAATTACAGATTTTTTTTATTTATTGAAAAAGGTTCCCGTCAGCTTTTGTAATGAGCGTTTAATGAGTTGTTATCATAATGAATGACCTCATCTCCTTAAGACAATGGATAGGGGATATTTTTGTTATTGTGGTGATTTGGTGCTAATCGGCAACAAATCCAAATACTCAATAATGTCTTTGGACTCAGAAACGCTCTGTACTGTCTGGACATCTTTGGATTACACAAGTCAGAAAAAATCCTACGCACCCAGCCCTCCATCCTATTCTCAAATAGTATAACACTTATCATACCCTCATCTTTATCTGCAACTTTGCTGGAAAAACGGTTTAAACAGAACAAATCCACAAAGAAAGGCTGTGCCGCATTGAATGAGGATTTAAAATGTCAGTGTTATGAATGGAAATTCAAAGTATTTGATAGTCTTTTGATTAAGTCTTCCTTTCATTCCAGATTATTCCAATAAACAACTGTGTCTGTATGATATGTTTCCCTTTATCAGGTAGGGAAGAATAATTTCCGTCCCCCTCCAAAAGTGGAGTCAAGTGTTGTCAGGATAGAACCGAAGAATCCTCCTCCTCCGGTCAACTTCCAGGTAAAGTTTGGCTCTATTAACAATGAATTATGTGATAATGCTGTTTGTTTTAAAAGGAAGTACATTTCTAAATATTGAAAAGTCTGCTTTCTCTTCTCTTGAATAGGAGTGGGATGGCCTGGTCAGGATAGCCTTTGTAAGGAAGAACAAAACCCTCAATGCCGCTTTTAAGTAAGTACCTGCTTTCTGCACACACTGCCCCGCCGGCCAAATCTGTTTTCTGTCAAAACAAACGTGTATAAAAAGAAACGGGTGATCATATAGATTCATATTTCCAGGTCCAGTGCGGTTGAACAGCTGCTGGAAAAGAACTACAGGATTCACTGCTCTGTAAACAATGTGGTGAGTCGTAGTGTCCTTTGTCCCGCATGTTGTACTCTCAAGAGTTTTCAAAATGTCCAAGATCCAGAGATGGGAAGTAATGGAGTACAAATACTTTGTTACTGTACTTAAGTACATGTTTCTGGTATCAGTATTTTACTCCACTACTTATTTTTCTCACACAAATACCTGTATTTTCTACTTCTCACATTTTCAAAACGGGTTTGTTACTTTAGTTTTAATCTGCGTTTGGTGGCCGAAACATTAATTATCTAACAATGACATTATTGTTCTATTAATATAATTAAACTAAAGGGAGGTCAGTTAAACACGAGTATCTGTACTTCTACTTGAGTAAAGGATGTGTGTACTTTTGCCATCTCTGCCAAGACCACGCCTCGGCCACTTTTGAATCTAAAGTCCTGTTCTTAATCCTTACAGGAAATCCCAGCTGACTTCAGCATCACCAAGAAGGTTGAGTGTGTTTTGCAGGGGGTTGAGTTCAGTGAGAAGAGAGCCCGGACCATGGACATCGATGACTTCATGGTGTAAGTTGAACATCTTATTTAATAATCTACTGAAATAAATGATATGTTTTGACCTGTTTTTAATTATGACTTTCCTTCATCCTCAGGCTGCTTCATGCATTCAACTCAGCAGGGATCCACTTTACTTAAATGGCAGAGGGAACTGGTGCTACGACTCTTATGTCCTGCCTTTATAACGAGAGGAGTGGAAAGTGCTTTGCTTGGAGGACCTGAACATCAAATGCTGAAATATTATTGTAGGATACTTTTTAAGAGCTCATATTGAGTGTGTTATTCTGCCTTAATGAGTTTGTCAGGTGGAAGCTGTTTGAGCCCTCTTGGTTGTACTAGAGCCTGCCAGTGTTTGAAAGTTTGTTATTCATTAATCTGTTATTAATACTTATATTCTTAATCTACATTTGTTTTGAAAAAAATGACCTCCTTGTGGAAAAGGTAAATATTTAACAGTGTAGGTTTGAGTGTGTGCAGTCTATTACAAATAATTTCAGATTGTCCACGTTTCTTTCTGTGTCAATGTTTTCTTACTCACTAAGACTAAATGTAGCTACAGATTGCAACGATTGATCAGTTTCTCCTCAATCCGTTTTTTTATTTTATTTTTTAAATAGGATATAGTTTAGTTTAAAAGTCAAATAATTGAACAAAAAAATATTACAATTTCCCGGAGCCCTATGTGATGTATATCAGCGCAAAACACCAAATACATTACATTTACAACAATGAGAAGTAGCACATTCTGGGGCAAATCTTTGGCATGCTTTTTGGTAAAACGATTTTTCGAATAATTGAAGCCGTTAGCTAAACACGTTTTAGCGCTTCCGGTGAGACCCTTTCAAAACAAAACTCATTGCATTTATCAAAAAATAACGCGGAAGGAAAGTTGAATTTGCTATAAAAATCATCGATATTTTCAAATTGACGCCCGTCCGTTGCTAAAATGCAATAAAGAGGAAAAGGGTAGCCATTTATAATCCTGTGTTTCATAAAGATAATGGTGACATCTATCGGCCACCCTGGGTATTACACCTCAAACCACTACCCGTTGATCAGATACCATTGTGTCATTTTCAGATAATTAAATAGTTCATTTTAGACCCTTAACCAGTCACAGACTCACAAAACAGTCTCTTTGAAAGGTGAACCTCCTTTGTCCCTTTATGTAAAACAGGAAGCAGCTGTCACCATGGATACAATACACAGCTTCTCTAGCCATTGTCACTGGTGTTTTATGTAAATGAAAAACGAATCCAACATTGTGTATAATGCTACAAGATGCATGCTTCATGTACATTTGTTTAAATATACATTTCTAAATGTCGAGCCCAATAACATAGGAAATATGTGATGATGTTTTAGTGACAGGTACAAGTCAGCAGGGTTTCATAACACACACCATTTCTACTCAAAGGTGTTAGAAGATTGCTCTTGCTGGAAGTTCTTCATTACTAATTGTCACAAAAGTCCTTTTAAATTAAGCACAGTCATCTTTATTACTTAGTAAGAGTTTGCAAACTACATGTAGTCGTGCTGAATATCAAGTGGTTATGCTTCCGTAGGTGACACTAAAAAAAAATGTCAGTCTCTAGAGAGCACGTGGCCTCTTGGGAACTATCTGCTTACTGGCTTGCTCCTCCTCTCGGAGTGTAGAGCGGAATGACTTCACTTTATCTGAGAGGGAAATAAATGAGAAAGTGATTAGTGTTTACTGGAGCAGGGTTTTTAGTCATCATCAGGCCATCGTGTGTTTCTGCCATACCCCGGAGCTCAGTGAGGATTTCTATCTTCTGGTCTAGGATCTGCTCCAGTTGAGTGGCGTATGTTTCCACGTCATAATCCACCTCCTCCGTCATCTCAAGCAGCACCTTCTCATCTTCCAACCAGCGGATAGACTCCTGCTCACAGAGGACACACACACATACAGAAAGACATTTTTAGTTTATGACAGCCCGCGATTAACTCCGAGGTTACCAATGCAGGTTTGACTTTTACCTACAGAAAACTGATTGTTTAGAACTTGTCAGTGTGAAGCTCACTGTATTTGCATACCGTCAATATGTATAGCGTTCAAATGAACCTAAACAGAACATAAAAATGATGAGCAAGAGTTTTCAAAGAGTCTTAGGTTTTTTCTTTGACCTGGAAAACAGCTCGATGGTCCTCCAGGACCTGCTCCTCCATCTCCACTAACTGAGACACCGCCTCGTGGAAGGTAAATAACTGGGGAGACACCTCCTCCTCCTGGGAACAAAGTTACAGGGTCAACAAGAGACAGAAACAGAATATTCACACATATATATATAACACCTCTGAAGTAGCTAAAACATAAATCCAATTACCGTCTACAAGTAATTCATATGGATTATTTAAAAGCACATTTCTCACAAGCAACAAGGTCTATGTAAAATATACCTTAACTATGAATTGTTGGACACAACCTGCCTTAACTTTGCAGCCCTTTAATAGCAGATTTGGAATCCGTTTCCAAAACGTTTGGTGACAGGTGTTACATCATAACAGGTTGTACATTGATATGGTAATGAGTTTGAAATAAAAAGACAACCCCGTTAGCTTACATTCTGCTCACAGAGCAGTTTGAGGTCGTCTCTCTGCGGCGAGATACTCAGCCAGTCCTGGTCTAAAAGCTCCAGCTGGTTTACAGCGTGGATGTTGGGTCGGCCCCCGTCCATCATTTGGTTGGGGTCCACTGACAGCTCCTTCACCCTGCAGAGAAAAGGACTTTGAGCCGGGTTGGAGCGTATCTTTCAACCCAGTCTGCGGTTCGATCTGCATTATGGCAGTAACTTGGGGTTTAAAGGAGCACAGGACGCACAGGATGGCAGCAACATGACAGCGGTGACATCATACATGTAGAAAGATGACTGTAGATGATTTGAAGCCTAATATAATTCATAAAAGTGGTATTCTCATAACAGACATGCTTACAGCGCTAATGAATCAGGACTATTTGATTACCTGCTGAGGGTTTGGACTCATCTTGTGCTTTCCCACAGCTATGTGAACGTTTCAGTGTCAATATGGACAGCAGCTAATACCCTATCGGGTCACGTTTTGTAATGCCATGTATTCTTTGTGACTCATCGCACACAACTTACACAGTAAGTTACACAGAGCAAATAAAAGACACACCCACATGGACAGGCGGACGGATGTATTGTTTCTACAGGATTTAAAAGAAAAAAATATTGACACAGCTTAGACAAAGATAAGAGTGGGAGTCAACGCAAGGGAGGGGGATGAAAAGGCATGCAGATGAGAAATAGAGAAGGACGAGACAGTGAACAGCAGATGAAAGCAGCTAAGATGAGCTCATGGATGTACAGAGAGGGATAAATACCTGGAGGGAGCGCATGCATTGTGTGTGTGTGTTTATGTGTGCAGTGCTGTGGGGGGTTCTTGACCTGCTGGGAGAGGTAGCAGCAAAGTCATCGTATTCAAAGGTATTGGTAGGCGAGAGCTCAGAGCGACCGCCCTGAGAGAAGGGGATGTCCGACGGACTAATCCCAAACTCCTTCACTCTACACAGCAGCGATCCGCCACACCAGGGCACAGAGGAGCAGAGGGAAACAAAGCAGGAAACAGAGAGGAGAGAGGGGATACAAGAGAGTCAGACAGAACTAATAGAGTAGGCAGAGAAATGTACAAAAAACATTTGACAACTATCTATACAGAAAGCATTCAAAGGAGGTATCATGTCGTAACATTGCATCATTTCTGTTTGTTCCCGTGACAACAAAGCTTTGTGTGAATCACTGAAGTCAGTAAACACATTCCCACCTGTTGGCGTAGCGTAGTGTGTTGAGGGTATTCTCACAGGATGTCATTCCAGGAGAGATTGTTGCAATCTGGGCAGAGAACGTAAACAAATTATTCAAATGAATCCGATCCAGAAGAAACACGGACTTTGGATATGAATCAAGGGCAACAAACTGACCATGCATGTGCGTGAGTTCTCCCCGATGAAAGAGTCTCTCAGGACCTGGGTGAGCTTACTGGCTCTGAATGGAGTGTGGGGCTTGTTGCGGCCCAGAGCCCTGATACACTCCTGAAACAAAAGCAGACACACATTGTTTGGTAAAGAAAGTATCACTTTTTTGGAATTAGTGCAATTTTGCAGGAGCCCCCCGGGGGGCCGCCACGGGGCGCCAGGGGGGTCACGCAAAGTTTGAGGGAAAGGGGAATTTTTTATTTTTTTAAGTTACTTTTTATTTTTGTTATTAATAACTGCATATCTATCAATCTATGTGTTCTTTTAATCTTTTTTACTTATTCATATATATATATATATATATTTTAATCACACGAGTGTATATACGTAATTATCTTGTTATAAATTATGTAAAAGAATTATATATGCAAACATAAGTATTAAATTATTATCAATAAGAAGATTTTTTTTAACATTTAAATAGAAACAAACAGTAAGTAAATATATGTAAGTAACCATGAAAGACAATATTTGATAAAAGAATAGTGTGTATAATTTGTCATTATAGTTTTGGTCATTTGGTATATTTTCGTAAAAATTTCACTAAGACAGAAATATTATAATATATTAAAACTTGTCATTATACTGTTAATTGTATATAAAAATCGTAAAAACTTTCGATGAATACGGAATTATCATAGTATATATTTAAGGTTGTCATTATAATATCAAGTTATTATGTATAAATATAAGTATATATACTTTGTAGTATAAACGATTGTAATAGGGCACGAGAGAGGTCGACGTCTCGCCTTTCATCAAGTGTATCGAGAGTGAACGAGGTTCGACTCGTCTAGAGTCAAAAGGAGAGTCATCGACCGTCGCGCTAAGACTAACCGAACTTTCCCGCAGCACCACCTAATTTATTTTTATATATATATATATTTCAACTGATATCATACTCTCTTTATATGCTAATTTTCTAACCGTAGTTTTCCTGTGTATCTAACTATCTATATAGGGCGTCAATAATTATTTTTTTTATTTTTTTATTTTTCATTGAATTTTTGTATTCTTCATGTAAGGCGGAAAGACGCTTTGAAAACGCACTCGGGGGATTCGCCGGGGGGCCCCCCGACGACGTTTTAACGTGATTAAGGTTTTTTCACTATGAAGTATATATGGTTTGTTACACAAGACAAAACAAGTCCTCACATAAGTCCCGAGACCCGGACGTATATTAAAAGTTGTACATTATACTTGTTAAATTGTATATAAAAATCGTAAAAACTTTCGATGAATACGAATATGCCTAATTATATATTATAAGTTGTCATTATAATTTTATTCGTATAAATATAAGTATATATCTATTGTAGTTATAAACGATGTAATGCACGGAGTAGAGTGTGACTGGTACGTCCGCTTCAATATATCACGGTTATCGCGCAGAGTGACAACGAGGTTCGGACTCGTCTATGACGTCAAAGTGAGAGTCATCGCCGTCGAGCTAAAAGACTAACCGTACACCTTGCCCGCCAGCAACC